ACTTTGATCTCTGCGAAGATAAAGTTGTGATGATGTTAAGTAATGTGAGCTTTAGCTACATCTTTGGTCAAGCTGCTAAATAACTGCATTTAAAGACAACTCAAAAAAGTTGTCCTGCATTGGTCTTTAATGCTTTAATCAAAATGGTAATAAGCATGTGAACTGGCTAATAACATTAAATGGTAAATGGACTGGTACTTATACTTTTCTACTCCAACTGAGCACTCAAAGCACTCAAGAGAGTCAAACAATCTCATGTATGTGCAGTAGCAGAAAAAAAGAAAAGAAAAAACATATACACAATAGAAAGATGAAAAGTGGCCTCTGTCACATTACAACAAGTAGTTTCATTCAGTCTTTGATGTCTCCAGAGTTTCCGTCTTTACCAACCAGTCAGGTTGCAGCTTACATCAAAGTCTGTCCAGATTCATGATAAATTTAGTTGTTTTCACACATGCACTTCAGGCTTGAACTTTTTCAGACATAACCCTGCTTAACTGCACATGAGAACATGAATGAGTTGTAAGTATCTTGCTTCCTGCTTGCTCTGCTCAGGTGCCACCCCCCCATAAAAATGCAGTTCAAGTCCTGTAAATCTGTGAAAGGGCAACACCTGGACCTAGTTGTGGAAAAATACTCTTTGTACATTACAAGTCAGCGCTTGCAATTTGACAGAGGTCACTTGTTTTTTGCCCAGTATGAGTAGAAAAGTGCTACAGAGGCAGCACCCCATTTACCATTTAATCACAGTTTCAGTGACACATGCTTATTATCTTTTTAAATTAAAGCATTACAAACAAGTGAAGGATGACAGTTTTGGTTATTTACTTTTGTTATTTTTGATTTTCAAGTGTGTTTCCAGGCTGTATTATTTAACAGCATAACTAGATACATGCAGCTAAAAATCATGTTACAAAGCTCACATTACTTAACACAGGGCCATCATAACTTTATCTTGATGGAGACTCTTATTTTAGCGCTAATAAAATACCAGCTCTTTCACCATCTAGAACTTTTAAGAATTCATAATTGAAAACAATGTAATTGTCAACAATCCAGTGTCCTTTACAATTTCAAAGAAGGGCAAAAAAATCTTGTCTCTGATTTGGGATATGATGTTCAATACCACCCCCCCATCAGTGTACATAGACAGACAACATGAAAGTCTAATGCATGCCTCTAGCCATAGTCATCACTGTGTTAATCTTAGAGGTATTAGTGATGACCCAAGTTTTGTTTGGCTCTATCAGATCCATCCATCCATCCATCCATCCATCCATCCATCCATCCATACACTGTTATGTGTGAGCTATCTTAGGGCTTCTTTCAGCAGTCTGGACCTTTTAAGCGAGGCTCTGTTTAGTAGCCCATCTATGTGATTATATCAGTCGTCAGCTCAGTGTGACCTTTCACTTTCCACATGAAATGACACCTACAGATCAGACCTCTGAAGCAGTGCGAGCTATGGAGGCCTGCTGGGACAAATGAAGCTATATATACAATAGAGGCTTTGTCTTTCAGTCAGCGGCAGAGACGTGGCAGAGAAAAATGGGGTGAGATGGGTAGAGTTAAGTGAATAAAATGGAAAGAAAAATAAAACTCACGTTAACCATGATTTAATGCATTGTGGCTTTGAGCACAATGCTAAAATATATGCTAACACACTATAGTCTATATACTATTGCAAAATACATATAGGCGAGTTGGTTTTCATTAAAACACATACTGACTGAACTAAGTGGAAGTGCTGGTTTTAAGTGGTTTTAGACTTTTTTTTCCCACTTTAAACTATCTGTCAGAAACAGACACACAAATTAAACACATATAACTCATATAAACACACAAACCACTGGCTTTTGTGCCGCAAACTCCCACAAGTGTAAATATCACCGTGAACTCCCACAGTGGAGTCAAGTAGACGATACTGTCAAGTAGCTGAACACCCACTAAATGAATTCCAGATGCTCGGAGCAAAGAAACTGGGGCAGTTCTGGTGAAATATTTCAGACGTTCAGCACATGTGCCGCTGAAGCAAGAATCAAGTCTTTGATGGTAGCAGCTGTCTGTACAGCTGAGAGACACTGGCAGACTGTAGTGTAAAAGTAGCCAGATGATGGAACGTATGATGGGGTATACAGCCATATACTGAAAGTTACAC